TTCGGCCTTTGAACATTCTGAACGAGAAGCTTCTCGAACATCTTAGAAACTATTATTACAATACGATAATAAACGTTGCGCGGCCCTTAGAAATCAACCTGGGGCCTCTGAGTCAGGTGCGCTGCCCCTCGGCCACGCACACGGCATTATGTGGAGCTTCAAGTGCTAGTTTCTGCGATCCCTCCCATCTACACAACACTGCTGAGTCTGAACAGAGCTTAAAAATTGAAAATCAACGTTACAAAAAATTGATGTCGGACAAGAGCAAACTGTGCCAACACTTGACGAAGTACTGTGAGCCTACTTCATACATCTCGAGATATGCGTCCAGATCATCGAAGTCTTTCTCTTGCAGAGAATGACCGCATCTTCTCGCCCTGAAGCGTTGATACCCTCGGTAATTTTAAAAACCAGAAGACCCCAACGTTGTTCTCTTTCCTTTTGGATTGCGTCTTGGTGTGGTAACTGACTATCAGGCACAACCCCGTGCCCGAGCCGGAAAGCTCGGAGTTGTCTGAGCTTGTGTCACTAAAGAAAGCACATGACTCTCGTCTGAACAAGAGAATTGCCGGGCCGTGCGGACATGGCTGTCTGCCAAGATGAACGGAACGATTGCACTTGTCCGGCATGAATCGCTCGCAGGCTACGGGTGTGTGCTCTCTATAGAAGTTCTGTAGAGATTATGAGCCTGAATTGTAATTGGTAGATCTGCATAAACTTTTTTCTCCATTTAAAAACATTGTAGGTGACTTTTTTCGCTATTCGGTTCTTACTAGCTTCTTTCGGTGCAACTCGGACCTGAGTTTCAGTTGTCAGCGGTTGCTCTCCATTGCACTGTACTGGCATGATTACAGATTCAGTTGTCCTCTGCACTGCTGTTGTTGCTGCAGTGCCAGAAGTTACTAGAAATGCAGAAATTATGCGTCGTCAAAGGAACGTAATGTGCATTCTTTAGCATCGTAGTAAGTGAGCTTCGTAGCTTGCAGCTAACCATTGCTTCGCTTCTTCAGGACTTAGCTCCTTGGCACTTCCTGTGCATATCTTGATGCTGGTAGTCTAGGAACCGCATTCGACTTGAGCAGTCGTCGACCATCCGCCCCGCTTGCCTCAAATTGGCTCTGTTCGAAATGGTCCTATGAAAAATAACATATAAGGAAAAGGTTACCAAACAAAACAAACATTGCCCCAGGATCATTTACTGGGAGATACACAGTACAATTGAATGCTTCGAACTCTCGCCCTTATAAGTATAAAAGCATAGCCAGCAAGTTAAACAGCTCTAGTATCAAGCTTGTAGCGTGATTCTTGACCAGACTATTTACAAATCGCCGAATACGCGAAAGTGTGGTGAGAACAATACTGTTATCTTGCTGGAATATTGCCAATTGCTGGTTTGAGAACTTCTACTACGAGCTGGTACGTGCACGAAACGTGCGAGAGCTCTTGTATACGAAGATCGCTCACTTCGAAGCCCAGGTAGTTAACAAAAGCTTGGGGCAGTCTGAAAAATTGCCCCCTACCCGACCCGACCCCCCCCCCCCCCCCCCCCCCCCAAGTAGTGATAAAAGAAACTCTCTCAATAAAAGTGGCTAGACGAGCCATCTCTCAACTGCGCCTTAGCCAGCCGCTCGAAACGGACGACTCGAATCTTTCGAAACGGCAAACGATTTCAGAAAGACGGCTCACCCTGCATTACAGTTGTGCCTGAAAGGAACTTACCTCACAGACCCTGGAGCGTGCCGTGGGTTCAAAATTTTCGCGTTCGACGGGCTCCAATCATACGCAGCCGGTGTTGGTCTTTGCTGCCAAACGGAAAGCGCAGCAAGCGCTTCCCATCCTCCGCTTGGTGAAGCAACCTCCGACAGAGCAAAACGGCATCGCAAGAGCCTTTTAAGTGCTTGTCAGGTGCTGGAAGTCGGCGAAGCGTGGCATCTCATAACTTGTCCTTCGCCTTCGTCGTGAACGGCGCCCGCAACGCCCGTGCTCACCGACCGAGGGAGCGTGTATGCGCCAACGTCGAGTAAACAGATGTCACGTGCCTCAAACCGACGAAAAGAGTGCCGATACTCTAAAAACGTAGCTTTATTTAGTAACACTAGTCTACAAGCGGGTCATAAGACAGAGCACGGCACCTGCCTGAAGGACACTGCTTGATAGACCACTCACATAGCATCCACTGCACTATCAACCTTGGGACGAACTCACAAATCTATCCACTGACAAATCCTCTCGCTGTGTTCATTGTTGGGATGCCCCTTGAAGATAAGCCTTTTGTGCGGGCACCCCTGCAGACCTTGAAGAAGCAGGATGCAGGGGAAATAGTTAAGCGAGGGCAATGCTTCCCCCTCACCTCTCTTGCAACCTATCTGCTTCCTCCTCCCCGGCATTCCTTTCCCTGGCCCTGAACTCTTAGCTGCGGCCTGTGTGGCTGAGTGTTCGAAAAGTCCTGCGCGTATATCGGCAACAAGCGATTTCATCAAAGGAGTCACAGCAATTCTTCTTGTGTGGTTTGTTTCGGCAAATGACTGCTTGTACTGCATCGTGTTGAACCTTCACGGAGCCCTTCCATCTCGTTATTATGCTTGTTTGGTTGTTCTGCAGTGCGCGTATCGACATATAGATCGGAATACGTCTTTCAAGTCCTCTAAGTTTATGGTAAGTGCACTGCAACCTGTTTGCTGGCAACGAGTGACCGCTGTTCTACGGGTACTCTGCCAGATTATTTATAAAATTAGGCAGTGCCTATCCTCCCGGCAGCCGGGAAAATACTTGCCCCTAAAATCTACCGGCAGTCGCCTCCCATTAGCTCTCTGAAATCATGCGACAACAGCCGGTAGAATACTGACTTTCTTGTTCTTCCGGATGTTTGTGGAAACACGTTTCATAGACAACGTTTCGCTGTTACACGTTTTATGGACACGTTTCATCAACACTAACATATCACCGACACTCGTTACGCGAATTGCACGGCGCAGGGAAATTTTTCGCGGGTGTGTCACTGGCCGGCAGACCCGTCAACGGAGCTTCTCGGCGACATGCTGCGACGGCTGATTACAAGAATGTTAACTTACGTGGATCACCCTACATACCATTTGCGGCCAGAATCTGGAATGACTTGTTTAAAAAAAAGCGAATCATACCGGTCTGTAAAACATTCTGCTGATAAAACAGCATGCAACGTCGTTTGATGAACTGAGTGCCACCGCCAATGAGAGGCGTCTGTCGGTAGTATTTCGGGTAATTTCGGTGCCAGATGCAGGTTTGAGAGCGATTAATTTTAAGAAGCATAGATCAGCGAAAAGAATGCCTCGGCTACGTTTCTGCCAGAGTAAGTGAGCCAACCCCAATTTTCGTGGCTTAATTGCGTCTTGGTTGAGGTTGCGGAAGAACTACTAGTCTATAGTAAGCCAAGTGCTCCAGAAAATCGCGATGCTACAGAAACAAGTGAACTTATGCAGAGCCCTGACCCGTTCACAACGTGCTGCTTGGGAATGTGCTTTACTAAAACCGATGTGGGCTTGAAAGCGTTTATCTTCGACCTTTGGATCTTTTTGTAGTTGCCATCAGTGCGAAGCTAAAGATTGAAGAATGGGCAGCTTAAAAAATGGTGGTGAAGTTGCTGCTAGGGGAGGCGGCAGGCGGAGGCGCTTGGAAGCTGCAATGGCTCCCCAGGCTCAGGACTCGCCCCAGGACCCTTCCCAGGTCCAGGCATAGGCTCCCCGCTGAGCCTCCTTCCTAGCCCTTTTCAATAAAAGTCAAGAAAAAAATATTTTTGATTCGGAATTATTCATTTACACGCAAGTTAAAAAAGTGCATAGACAATGCATGGGAGGATCTTGCCATTTTTTCCCAGAGTGTTTCTATGCAGTGGGCTGCTAATATTAAACAGCCAGGATTTAAATGCATTGCCATTATTGCATAGCCAGAATTTAAGATGTGGCACCAATATTGGGACAGCGAATGAATTAGCTTGCCTTTCAATAACGGCATAGCCAATGAATGAGCCTGTATGCCAATGATGGCATAGTCATTGAATTAGTGTGAAAGTCAACATTAGCATAGTCAATGAACTAGTGTGCATGTCAATATTGGCTGCAGAATGGATAACCATCACTAGCACAGTAATGGCGGGAATGTTCATTTAATGATAGCCCAACATTGGTATCGATGATGACTGAAATATTGGTTTAACGATGGCCAAACACTGGTGGCAAGGATGGCTGGAAAGTTTGTTAAATGGTGTCCTTACATTGGAGCTAATAATGGCTGTAATATTAGTTGAAAGAGCGTCCAACGTTGGCGCCAACGACTGGGCCAATACCGAAGAAATTTTCACTTGGCCAGAATGCCAATGTTGGACCAACATCGGGAGGCAGTATTTGTCGTTGTTGGCCCAATGTAGGCCCAGCATTGCTGTACTGTCTGGGGCGCGTTGCATTGTGGGGCGTCTCCCATAATACCGTCACACGGGACGTCACGTGTGACGTCACGAGGGTCACGAGTGATGTCAGGAGGGTCCCACGCTTTGCATTATGGGAAACGTCTCGTGAAGCAGCGAGTGGGTCACTTGTAACCCGCGCTGCATTATGGGAGGGAGGGGGAGGAGGAGGAGGGGGAGAGGGGGAAGGAGGAGAAAGAAAGAGGAGGGGCATACCCTCCTACCCGTATCCTGCGCTCCTCCTCCTCAAGAGCTGCGCTCTCATTCGGCATTACACGGAGTTGTAAACGTCTTTATTTTTTTTTTTTCGTTTTCTTTAGCCATGACTTTAGTTACTCACGCACAATTGGTTAACACAGAGAAATTTCTTGTTGCCGCTAACGATTTCAGAGTACTCTTAAGATACAGAATATTTTTTTGCTTAAATGGTTGCGACGATTTAATATTAAAATTAAATTAAATGCGACCGTGTTATTATTGGTAACAATGATTGTCGATAATTAGATGGATCACTGAAAATTTGCAGGTTTCTTTCGTTAGGTTGTCGAAAGCATCGCAACTCACATTTCCGGCGTCAGAAGCGTAGGAGTGGCAGAGTCTCAGCATGGCACAAACTCGGCTGAATTCCTGTAAGAAACAGGGTTGCGGGGAATGTTTTGAGCAGATTCATAGTACAGGCAAGAAATTAAATACATTTCGCGATACGCAGGCATTACTCTCCCCGGCATGTCATATGTTAGCCTGAAATTGTATATAGCTTTTGAGAAAATGGCAAATGAAGGTTTCGCCTAAACCATCAAACAATCGAATTTCCTCACGCATCCAGTGGGGTAACATCACGTTTTCTGTAATGTTTAAGTCGGGAATGCAGTCTAGAAACACATTATTTAGCGCGTATTTTCATTTTGCTGGCGTGAGCTTGCCCAGCGTTCACTTGACATCGTCAAACCTCTTGTAACTCGTTGGGAACAAGCTCTGCTACCTCCTATTACAACGTCTGACGTCACGATTTCAGTTTTGCCACTAGAGCCTCTCAACCTCTTAGACCAAATTTTAAAATAAAATAAATCGCTAAAGTAATTCATTCTGTCTTGCACTTCGAGTTACAAGATCTGGTCTATCAATGTAATTAATAAATTTTGAGGCGAATGAGTAACTATCCGGAAATTTCAGCGGAGCTCTCTTTGAATGACGGAAGGAACGTGATTTATATTGCAAACAAAAATATCTTAATCATAAGGTCACATTGATTCAGCCTAAATTTGGACATTCGCCATCGTACCTAGCCATACGCGGCCTCAATTGTGAAGTTGCCACCCGAAAAAGTTTGGAACACCACAAAGCTATCGCTCGCCCGTAAGCTATGGCGAAAACAAGCGCCAAGAAAAAGCGAACAACTTCAAAGTCTGGTTCACAGATTTGCGTTTGAGTTTGATTGAGTGAGCCGAAACCTCTCGTGACCGCTTAACGACGAGAAAACACGCTGGCGCCATCTATGGGGCAGCACTAGAGCGTTTCTTATCTACGTATATTCCTAAAATTTTACGCCTGATTCTTTCACTATATGTGTGAAATTCTTTTGACAATGTCGGCACTTCCTCGTAGATGACGCGCAAATTCGATCTACTAAATACTACAAAAATATTACGTTTTGTAATGCGCACATCGGAATAAGTACAGGTCTTTCCGACACATCAACCTATATAAATGGCGACCTATATACTCAAACGTAGCACAGGCCATTGTCAGAAACGGGTAAGAGAGATTTCTTTCGCTCTTTTTCAAATCTGGTTGTTTGTTTTTTTCTTCTCGTGACCCAACCTTCAATGTAACCGTAGGATTTTTTTTGGTTTTTGGCCTGTTTTTCTGTGACGCGGTTTTGGCAGCATTGCGATGCCGTTCTAGTGTGCTGTGGGTTGCGCAAATACTAGCTGTTGTGAAAGGAGACAGGCTTTTTCTCGTTCCATGGGGAAGGACAGAAGCTTTTTTTTCGTTCCATGGGGAAGGACAGAAGCTTTTTCTCGAAAAAAAGAGAAGCCATACCCATGTGAAGGCAAGCTGAGATAAACGGGCATATTTGCTCATGAGACCAGCTTTGAGCTCAGTACCGAGGTTGCCAGTCAGTTAAGCTGGCAGTGTTTTTTATCGCATAATCTTACCAATATTACTTTGATACTTATTTGAAACAATGCGCACCCAGATTTACTCTAAATTTCAGCAAATTGAACTAAGTTTCAGTTTTTGTATTGACCATATAAAAGAATTAACTTAATTTTAACCACTAAACAACCCTGCTAAACCAGCGGTTCAATAAAGCCACCAAACGTACCTGTGTTTAATGTATGCTAGGGGCGTAAATGTCAGACGAATTTGCGAGCCGTATAGACTATTATAGACTTGCGCGCGCTTTGGCATGGTTGCAAGTAGCTTTCCATGTTTTCATGAATACTTGAGGTAAATGCAAGCCCTGGTTCGGCGGAACAATCTGTAACGCAACATGTCACTTAAAAATCGGCGTACGTAGAGGAGCGTTCTATCTTTAAAACACGAGTAATTGCGACTCAGAGTAAACTTTTTCTTCTACGCTCAGGAAATGGTGCTCAAAACGACCTGCCGGCTTTCAGTACGTATTACAATAAACGTATAAGCGCTGTATAGTTGTGCAGTGCGTGGAATTGTGCCAAAAGTATCTGTACAGCATTGCTATTCCTTTAAATCGTCTGCGTTTCAGCGGATTTGGATAATATTTTGTGTACAAGTCCGAGCGACTTCAATTCTGCTCGCGGTTACATTAGCCGTTCAAGACATGTTCCCGCACTTCTGAACACTAATATAGGTGTAGAAACGCTAGGTTTTTTACGCTGAATAGCGGAACTGTCGTCGTATTTCAATAACAAACTGTTCCAAGCCTCCGCATGTGATTCTACTCGGTTACAGTCCGGCCCGCTTAGGAGCGCCTAAGCGAGCGTTGCGGGCCACGCCACCTAATGATGGCGGGACTGCTGCCTGGAGCAAAGGGCTAGGAGAATTCCCCTCGATAGTAAAAAGAACACGTCGCAGGATGGGGAAGTTTGCACTACGTTTCAGTAGATAAAGACCTTAGTGGAATTCTATCGTCGTAAGCCTCAACAAGCAGGCGTATCAACAATGGGGGCTTTCTGAAGGCCCGGAGAATTCGAGATATCCTGGAAATGGCTCCACTTTCCCCCTTAACCCTTGGCGCTATTTGAAGGCAACTTTATGGCTACGCAATGTGTTCAATTAAAAAAAAAATAAAACTTCTACCTGAAGGCGAATTTGAGGTGAGTCGAGACTTGTTTACATCTCGCTTTAAATATGGAACCTATTCAGTTTTGGAGCGCAGCTCTTAGACTTGGGTAGGGGCTACAAACAAGTAGCCCCCACCGAAGCTTTGTTGATCTGTTTCATCTTAAATAAATTGATATTCCCATTAATGTTTCAGCGTTGTAGCAGCGATCCTGCTTTTTGTCTCAACCAAACAGGAACACTTTATCAATTTGGCAGTTATCGTGATAACAAGGGTGCATATCTTATCAATTGAGCTCTTGTGTCAGATATTATCACGCAACCCCGTTTTCCACAGAGTAATAAGGTGCTTAAATATGGACTCCACAAAGATCCATTTTCAGAAATGTATATAGCAATCTAGAGTCAGGGACACATGGGTCAGCCCCCTCTCTCTTTATATATATATGGGTGATTTCATCTCAACTCAGGCACGGATTTAGGGTCGAATTTTTAATTTTGACGAAAAAAATATATGTTTTGAGGCAATTCCTATAATAAAAGAAGACGCAAACGGTTATTTTGTCGGATTTTTTGTTCTCAAGTTATGGACCGTTGAAGCGGTCAAGGTGGAAATTGATGTTTTTCCAGCCTATTTGAGGTGCCATATTTCACTCCATCCCTTTTCCCTAATTTTTACGCTACATCAATATAACGTTTTGGGAACACTCTCGACATAGGCTTTTTCATGCTAATTAAGCGTCTAGGTCATAACATTCTTAATGTTTTTTTTTTATTTGTCAGACCGCCTCTCTGTGACGATATTTGACGAAGTTCAGCAAGTTGTGCTGTGTGACCTAATCAACATAATTTTATGATCTTTATATCACCGTAAAGCACCAATTATGTTTTTTCTTTTGAGTATAATTTTATTATTTTGCCACAAGTATGTATTGCGCTACATGTGCCTGAAAGACGAATATTTCGAGAAACTAGCAAGTTTGGAGTCGATTTTCTAAAAAAAAACCCCACTTTTTTTTTTTTTCATTTTTTATTCACAGTTGGTTAATATAGTAGTCTATCAGGAACTACCAACAGAAATTGTAATATATTGTTTTTATCGCCGCTATTAAGACTCGGATCTCGTGCTATGAGCGTTTTGAACGGGACTTCGCACAGGCGCTCTGCTGAGCAGACTTTTGGCCTATATAAGGTTTTCTATTTATCGTTAGCAGTTACCTAATATCCAACCATAAACATTAAAAAAAAAGATTTCGAGTAGTGCTCTTAAAAAAAAAGTTCCTTAGAGGTCCGTATATACGAGTGCGAGCGCATCTTTTTCTCCCAATACGGGGGAATGCAGATCGTTAGAGAAGTCCTCTGAGGCCTTTTGCTTTCGGCTCCGAAATTTTATAGATGCCACCCCAGTCAGACGGCGTGTACAGAATACTTTATCTTGAACATCACGAGGCTACCGCCTCTATCTTCGTCGGGGTCCTGGAGCTTCTAAGGATTATGCCTTTCGATGCGACCGACATGGAAACCCTGATTGTCGGGAGAACAGGCGTTTCGAGGTTAGAGTTTACGTCGCAAGCCCCCCTCTGTCTCTCCAAGCTCTCCTCCTCGTCCTTCTAACACAACCGTGCCACTAATCCGCGGGCACTAAAAGAGACGCCGCTGATGCGTGGCACCCAGATTACGCGCGGGGCGGAGAGCGAATGTTTAAGTAAGGATCGACGGGAAGATTGGGGACCCAAAGGAAGCCGAATCTTCGCACGTCGTCTAACTGATAATAGCCTTCTCGGTCCCTTTCTGGATCTTTACTTGAATTCCTAAGCCACGGCAAAACGCTGGAACTCATTCTACCTCCGTGCTGTCTGAGCTGGATGAACTTAAAACTGCTCCTGCTTTCAGAAAGCCAGAAGTGTTCGTTACTGCCATGGCTAATACATTATTCAGTTCAGACCGGAAAGTGTGCGCCAACTATTCAAGGAGACAAAAGAGAAGAGTGTTTTACGGACGCCATTTTCGTCAAGTCTCGGAGCTAAACCTAAGTTTTCTTAAGCAAGTTCTACCGGCTGAGGACGCCCAGTGCGTAAGCCCTGAAGATGTTCTGTGCAATCACTGCTACACAATGTTCTTGGGTCAGATTGAAGAACATAAGCAAGGACAGGAAATGTTGTCATCAAGCTCATCGTCATCATCCATGAAACCAGCGGACAGATCATTCGTTGACGAGGAAGCCCTGGTCCAAGGAGTGTCTGAAGCAATTGATGCTGCCGAAGTAAGCGTGACACCACTTAAACTCCCTCCTAGCGTGACCCCACGAAGTCGTACCGGCTATGTTAAGCGATAAAAATTCAAGATAACCGCGGACTTCAAAAAGAAAATTGGTCGTAAACTAAGTGACGTGTACGGAGAACCTACGGGCACAGACAAAGAAGATCCATGCTCCTCGTGCTCCGACTGGGTCAGCAACTTACGAGCAGCCTACGTCAAGAGCGCGTCGCAGCTAGAACGCTACCGCCTCTTAACTCTCTTTCCATCTAACCTCAAAAAGAAAGATATCCTGAAAGCAATTCCTGAAGTGACGAAGCATGCTTTGGACCAATCAAGAAACCTGAAAAAAAAATGGGGGTCTGGGCGTCACCTGACCCATACCAAGGACATGCTCTCAACGAAAACGATGTCGCTCTTGCGTTGACTTACTACACATCAGATGCGAAAGACTGCTCAAGACAAAGCCCGAAAAAGAAGGATGTCGTAAGGCTTTTTATTGATGGTCAGGAAGCCTTCGTCACGAAGCGATTTATGACGAGATCTATTAGGGAAACCTACAAAGAATTCAAGGCGGCCAATCCCGAGTCAAAAATGGGCCTGACAAAATTTTATTCTCTTCGGCCCAAGTGGGTTAAGAAACACCATGTACATGAGGAGTGTGTGTGTGTATGCTGCGCCAGCTGCATACTCTGTCTGACATCTCTGTCAAATGCGGCGGGGAAGACCATGACCTTTGAAGACGTCCAGAAAATTTTTCTTTGTGAAAATCCTTCCCCAAACTGCTTCTTGCTGAGGTGTGAAGCCTGTTCGAACCGGAAAGACGTATCCCTCGAGATGCTAGGGACGAGCGCCGAAGATGAACTGGAGTGGGCACTGTGGAAATCTGGTGGCGAGTTGGTGAAAAAAGATTTCGAGGCCACTGCTTTTCTTAACGAACTCAACGAGTGAACGAAGAAATACATACCCCACTATTATATTCGGCGCGCACAACAGAGAGCAATGTGGCTTGAAAAAGCAAATGTGAAGCCATGTGTCGTAGTCCTCCACTTTGATTTCGCCGAAAACTGGAGTATTGTGCTCCAACGTGCAGCGCAGGGATACCACTGGAAAACCAAGATGGTGACAATCTTCACCTGCGCTACGACGACCAGGAAGGGAACACTAAGTTTCGGCGTCGTGAGTGACGATACCTGTCATGATTCTGCACACGCGCTCTTTGCGCTCACAATGATTGAAGACAGGCTCGAGGAACTCTTGCCCGTTTTTTTGGAGCTAATCTATGTTTCGGACGGCGTTCCAAGCCATTTCAAAAATCGGCACCAATTACACGAATTTCAGAAGTTTGATGTGAGCAGGTGGATATACTCGGCGTCAGGGCACGGCAAAAGCGACGGAGTGGGTGGTGTGCTGAAGCATCATGCGTAACTGCATAACTTGAAAACAACTGAGTTGAGCTCCATAACTAACGCGCGTACGTTCGTTGAAGCTCTCGGCCAGAAAATCAAGGGGATAACGCTTCTCTTCATCGACCAAGAGAAGCTGTCCCGTTATCGAGAGCTTAAAAGTAAGGGGTGGGAGAAGGTAACCCCATCGAAAGGTATCCAATCTTCTCATGTGTGGAGCAAAGCAATGGGGGAAGGGGGAGGTGATGTGGTCCTAAAAAGAGTTTACCAAACCCTAGAATAGACAGAGCTAAATGGTGGGACCGTGAAAAGGCCGGACCGTTTCAACAGTGCGTTCATCCTTGTCCCCCTGTGAGAGCGCGCTGTGTGATCAGACGACGTGCCATAGACTTTGACACTGAACTTTTCCCTCGTGACTTAAGTTTGTCCGTGAGTTTAGATGTTACGTACTTCTCCGTCAATACATAAGGCGAAGCTCACACACCTTTCAAATCACCCCAGTGCCAAGTAAATAAATATTGTAAGGATAAATATTGTTACTTCACTTGATTTTACGCTCAGATATTGTGGTAAGTACTAACATTAAATAGAAAACTTTACATTGGCCAAAATTCTGCTCAGCAAAGCGCCTGTGCGAAGTCCCATTCAAAACGCTCATAGCAAGAGATTCGAGTCTTAATAGCGGCCATACAAACAATATATTACAATTTCTCTTTGGTAGTTCCTGATAGACTGATATATTTACTAACTGTGAATAAAAAATGAACAAAATAAAAAGTGGGGTTTTTTAGAAAATCGATTCCAAACTTGCTAGTTTTTCGAAATATTCGTTTTTCAGGCACATGTAGCGCATTATATACTTGTGGCAAAATATTGAAATTATACTCAAAAGAAAGAACATAATTGGTGCTTTACGGTGATATAAAGATCTTAAAAATATGTTGATTAGGTCACACAGCACAGCTTGCTGAACTTCGTCAAATATCGTCACAGAGAGGCGGTTTGACAAATAAAACAAAAATCATTAAAAATGTTATGACCTAGACTCTTCATTAGCATGAAAAAGTCTATGTCTAGAGTGTTCCCAAAAAGTTATATTGATGTAGCGTAAAAAGTAGGGAAAAGGGATGGAGTGAAACATGGCACCTCCGATAGGCTGGAAGAACATCAATTTCCACCTTGACCGCTTCAACGGTCCATAACTTGAGAACAAAAAATCCGACGAAATGACCGTTTGCGTCTTCTTTTATTATAGGAATTGCCCCAAAACATATATTTTTTTCGTCAAAATTAAAAGTTCGACCCTAAATCCGTGCCTGAGTTGAGATGAAATCACCCATATATATATTTATTTATTTATTTATTTATTTATTTACTTAAAAATCGATTTCGTTCTTTTTCAAAATATGAAACTAAAAATTACCTCAATAAAAAGAAACAAGTAGAGAAATTTTTTATGGCCAAGTACGTATTTTATATATCTTATAGAGAAAAGTGAAATGGCGTTCGTGTGGGTCATTGGGGCGCTTTACTGGAACAAGAGGAACGAGAGACATGTCGAAGTTTTTTTCACTCCCTTTGTAGTTTTGTCACAAAAATCTTCCAAAACTTCCACAACCTTTTCTTTCTTTTTGCATTGGGAGAGTGAAAAAAAAAATGGTTGATTCATAGTTAAGTTTTTATTTATAACGTTTGATTGTGACCAATGTTGTTTTTTATGTAAAATAAAACAAAATATTCATAGAAAGTTGTGCTATTGTATTGCACGTCAAACGTGCGATGTCAACTCTCTCGGCGCTGTTCGTCGATAGTTTAGCGACTGGCTTAACGCGTGGCATGTGCTCTCGATAGCAATTGATAGAATGGAAACACCGCCGGAGACCCGGGTTTTGAAAGCGTTGGACAGGGGGTCAAGTTGCTACATGCCGGATGCAGAGCGGTTGCACCGCGGGGCCTTCCCGCCATATTTTATCCGAACACACGGCGATGTCTCGTGACATGCTGGAAAGTCCCTCGCTCAGTAATCTATATGGTCTTAGTTCAATACCCGTCTGGCGCAGATGCTTTTTACTGCAAAAGCATCTTCCCCAGCACGAAAAACAAATCAGTGTCAAGCCTTGCGGCTATGCTTTTATCCAAGATTTAGGTTTGGTCTTCACAAATTGCAAATTACCTACAAAAAAAAACAAAAAAACAACAACGTTAAAACGAAACGCACCAGTCAGCCACGCCTTTGTGCGAAAGAGCAAATTCAGGGAGCATCCGAAACTGTTTCTTCAGACTGATTTGAAGTGAGTTCATCCAATTTGACAAGCCTAGATTGTAACGCAATCAGAAACAAAACGTTTAAGAGTTTAAACAAAATACCTTTATGCCAGCTGCCTTGATGTCAAGGTCCATGATCACATCCTTGCATGCGATGAATCTTCCTGTGACGTAGCTGGCAGCTTTAGCCGTGTCCCAGGGATCTGAAGTAAATACATGTGTTTTGCAAAAGCTTGTTGCCGCAGGAAATGTAACCGTTGCTCATTTGACGATTACTAACAGTGAAATAAACGTGTTGTACTTCTCAGTAACGGAATTTGAAGGAGCTGTGCCACAATTTCAGTGCTTTGCTTAAATCATTTGGGAGTTGGTGTTTCGACCTTCCTCCAGTAAAGAACAAATAACCGCTTTTGCCTGAATGTCCAAGTTTTTATTTTAAAAATGAACAAAGATCAAGGTTTTCGGCACCTCTCAACTCCTTCACCATCTTCCGAGTCACGTGCACTGTGACGTCAAGGGGGGTCGCGCGGGGTTCCGGTGAAGCTCTCTCTCTAGAGCCATCAGTGTGCAGCGAGAACTCATCCCCGCGTGACCACGTGCTGGCGCGGCGCGAACAATATGGTGAAAGGAGGGAAGTCTCATCCGGGTCCGGCCAGAGTCTTTTGCCCCGTCCGGCTCTGCCCCCCTCCGGCTTCTGGCAGCTGCTCGCGGTAGAAGATAAAGCTGACGGTTTTGTTGGCCTCGGATAGATGGCGCCACTAAAACTCCGTATAATAGAAGTTTTGTCGAGGACACCAGGTTTTTGACGCATTTATATTTATGTTGAAACGACAAGATTTGTAGAAAAGTTTCCTTTTATCGAGCAGGTATTCGCACAACTTGCTATCTTTCTACAAGATTCCCCTTTGACGTCACGCCTCGTGTTTCTCATGGCCGCCGTTCGCGGCTGCAGGTCGGGGAATATTCCAATTTTTGCCTCGCGATTACGTGGCGGAATCGCAACATTTCGAAGGAAGGAGGTGTTTTTTCTGTCATTTGTGACAAGATGAAAAATGTCCAAAGTAGAAGAGGCCAATTCTTTCAACGTTAAAATCGTTGCACAGCTCCTTTAATAATGCTGTTGTGTTATACGTGTGTTTGTGTGCGGGAAGGGGGGGGGGGAATGCAGCTCAGGCAACGTGGACACGTCGCGTGTCTGGAGGTCACGTCACGGTTAAGGGGCGTGACGTCATTGCGTAGCACGACCCAATGTCACGTGACGTCATGTCACGTTATATTTAATTTCCCTACTAAATGTAGCCGTGACATTGACGTCAAAGTTTGAAGGTGGAATTTCACGTGATACCATGATGTCGTTGGATGTGACGTCGCTCAGCATGGTCACCTGAAGCTACATGTTAATGTAAGGCAATGGTTTAACGGGGTGTCAATTTCTCTGATAAATATAACGGGAAATGAGCAGAAGGATGGAACGACGAAAAAACAATCAGAATTACATGGTTCCGCGAGAAAGCCCTTGTTTTGTTTTAAAAGGATATTGTGAGTGAAGCGGTCGCGGCTAAAGACCATCAAGAAGAACTGGAAACATGTTTAAGGTAACTTGGCGAACAGACATAACTAGAGGGGGCGCTTTTGTCCAGTTTGTTATCCGCAGAGCTCGGTGTTTACCCAGCACGAGACCTGGGAACTGGATTCATCTCGTCATCTGCGTCGACTGATCGCTGGACACTGATGGCAGGAGCGCTCTCTCAGCGTTCGTCTGGAACTTGTGTTCATTCCATGTTCCTCTGACTGAACATGAACTTTGCCAAGCATTGGCGCAGCGTTCGGATGCGTAAGCCGCGCGCTGCATCACAAACACTAACAAATAATGTACGCTGTTGTTGACCCCTGAGGTTAGTTCTCAACTTAGGCACTAGGAGCACGACGATCGGATCCCCCCCCCCCTCTCCCTAATACAAAACTAGTTTTAGTCTAATTTTATAGAGGGTAACCATTGAGAAACAAAATAAAACAAACTAGTCTTCTCCTGTGTGTTCCGCTTGTTGGGCATGTTTTACACGCTCCCTTTAAATATATAAAACAGCACTAGAGTGTTTCTACCACTTGTAAAGTGCTCAACAGAGCTCTACGGAACTCGCGCCCTCGACTCTCATCCCATGGGGGAGCACTCCTGGTGTCGGCCGAGTAATGTCTGCTTGACGGAACGCTCAATCGAACACCCCGAGCAGGGGTGGCCGCTCGCCCAGTGCCGAAATTTGGACATGGAAAGGGGGACACCGCAACAATCTTGCCAGCTCTGTGATTACGCGTATCGCCACCCACACGACGGTCCATAGGTGAGAAACAAAAGTCGCCAGTTAGGGACATCCCACAGGAATCACAAAGCACCGCCGCGCGTTGCTCGACTATGCTTCATTCCAGCTTAAGTCCAGACGCAGCCGACGCCATAAGCTCATGGCACCAATCAAGCAGCGTCAAAAGAACAAGTCACGGGGCCATTTTTGTTTATGATTGAATCAGCAATAATAGAACACGTACAGAAACATGATGAACACTATGATGAACCCCTTTTCAAGATATCTGATTGGTCCCATCAGCTCCTCAGCGTCGACTGCGTCTGGACGTATTGTGAAACGAATTATAGCACCGACTCCCCACCACGATTTCGTACCTTTGAGGCGATTGCAAATTCATTGCCCCACGGCGCTATCTGTGCTACGAAAGCACTGTGTGCTAACGTCTATCCGCACCCTCGTCCGTTGCATACCTGATAGGGCCACCTCTCGACATTTTTGTGCACAATTGGGGTGGTTACTAAATTGCCGCGGCGCAGCTAGTATTGCGAAACTCTAGTGTTAGAGACCCGTCGGATAAAGCATGGAGCATGAGATGTCCCACTGATTAGTGTCCAGTCCACCTCAGCAGCCACCAGCATTGTCTCGTATGGCGGGATGGCGTGGCGATAAGCCTTTACAATCATGACGGTTGCTCCGTTTCGACTTTAAAGACGGTTTTTCTAGCTATCAAAAAAAAAAATACTCAGAATTTTTCCGCTTTTTTTTTTTCTGAATTGAAAATAGCTGTTAAGAAAACGGCAAAGCAAATTTATGCCAAAACCAACGTTTAATCTATCCCGTGCTCGGTAGTAGGGCGGATGTCAACTGTCGACTCGCAAGACGAGAAGAAAGTATAATGTTACTAATACCTTGCGTGTTTTCGTGCTTGTCCTTTTTATTGGTGGCCTGATTAAAAAAAAATATTTCAGACCATTCAAAGTTTTGTACCCCGTCGCGAAGAACCTGTGCAGCCCACATATTACAATATTTGACGCCACGTTTTCGGCTTTGCCGATCGAGCCCTTTAGGCTCTTAAAGAAAATTTAAGAATTTAATGACTTCGTGAAAGAAACTCATTGTGACTTGGGATTTCGGTTACCAGTTTAGATGTGTTTCATAAGCTGACAAACCAATTTTGAAGCAAATCGGCGACTCTCAACATTACCAGCGGACCGACCTTGAACAAAAAAAAAAAAAAAAAAAAGCTTAAATGAGACAAGCACATAAAAAAAAAGTTTAACACAAACCAACAAACAAAAAAGCATTTACAACGGTAAAAGAAATGGCAGGATAAATATAGGTCGCCTCCCGCTAAGCTCCGCCCCGTGCTTACACCGTGTTTACATACCCATGGCTTGGAGAGATGATTGACGTGGGTGAAAGGACGGTTGTAAAACTGAGTCTCCGTGCAGTTATACTAATTTATTCTAATTACTTTTAGAGCGCAGCTCTTAGGCGCCCGTTTCCGGCTTGAGCGGCGTCGGCGTCGCCGTCGCCGTCGCCGTCGCCGTCGGCGTCGGCGTAATCGCGCGGTGCATTATGGGTAAATTTTTCCGAAGGGACCCGAGGACTCCCGAAGGAACCCGAGGTCGTCCCGAAGGAACCCGAAGTCCTTCGGGAGGACATCGGGTCCCTTCGGGAGGACCTCGGGTTTCTTCGGTAGGACCTCGGGAGGACCTCGGGTTCCTTCGGGAGTTGCATGCAAATGGCATACGAGTTGTATGCAACCTGTTGCATGCAATCCAGGTTGCATGCAACCTGTAGACGTCATCGTCATCCGCATCGTCACCGTCATCATCACTGATGACGTCATTGGCATCGTCATCGTCACTGCTGACGTCATGAATGACGTCACGCATGACGTCATAAAATTGTCATCGTCAAGGTCACGTGACCCCTGAGGTCACATGACCCCATAAGGTCACGTGACCCCACTGGGGTCACGTGAACCCCCTGAGGTCACGTGGCCGCCTGACGTCACGTGATTCTCTTGAGGTCACGTGACTCCCCTCCCCCGAGGTCACGTGACTCCCTTGACGTCACCCGACCTCCCATGAGGTCACGTGACCTTAAGGAGTCACCTGTCCCTCAGTACGCTTCCATCCTCCTCCTCAAGAGCTGCGCTCCAACCGGCGTTGCAGGGAATTGTAAACAACTTTCACTTTAGAGCGCAGCTCTTAGGGGCTCGTTCCCGGCTTGAGCGGCGTCGCCGTCGCCGTCGCCGTCGGCGTAACGAAGGTCACCCCAAGGTCACATGACCCCCAAGGTCACCCGACCCCCAAGGTCATCCCAAGGTCACGTGACCCCTCCCCAGGGTCACGTGACCCTCAAGTCACGTGACCCCTGAGGTCACGTGACCCTCCCAAGTCACGTGACACCCCGAGGTCACGTGACCCTCAAGGTCACGTGACCCCCTGAAGTCACGTGACCCCCTGAGGTCACGTGACACCCCTCGAGGTCACGTGACCCCCCGAGGTCACGTGACCCACCCTGAGGTCACGTGACACCCCCCGAGGTCACGTGACCACCCCCCGGGATCACGTGACCCCCCGCCGAGGTCACCTGACCTCCCATATGACGTCACCGGCATCCGCATCGTCATCGTCATCATCACTGATGACGTCATCAGTGACGTCACTGATGACCTAACCGGCATCCGCATCGTCATCGTCATCATCACTGATGACGTCACCAGTGACGTCACTGATGACGTCAACGGCATCCGCATCGTCATTGTCATCATCACAGATGACGTCATCAGTGACGTCACTGATGACGTCACCGACATCGTCATCGTCATCATCGCTGATGACGTCATCGGAGTCCGCATCGTCAACGTCACTGATGACGTCATCAGTGACGTCACTAATGACATCATTGGCATCGTCACATGACCCCTCAAGGTCACGTGACCCCCAGGTCACTTCACCCCCCAGTACCCTTCCCTCCTCCTCCTCAAGAGCTGCGCTCTAATTCGGCGTTACAGGGAGTTGTAAACGGCTTTCACTTTTTTATGTACCAGGAACAAGTAATCTAGATGGAGTCATTACTCTTTCCAAAAGTGTCCCAAGAGGGCGTTTTTCGCATTTGTTTGAGACGTTAATAAAACATGGCTGCCGACGTTTGTTAAACGCTCAACCTGCGCAGCTCGCTTAGCTCGTCTATTTTGGTTAGAGCAAGTCGTATTGGGTTCCCGGAGGTGTTTAGAGGAAGATCTCAACCGACGTACACTCTAAGAAAAAATGGAGGAACAAAGTAGCAACGGCGCATTTTTCTCCCTTCTACTGACGCGCCCCCAAGCGGACACGAGAAGAAGGGAGGAACGAGACGTTTTTCTTTTTCCAGGCAGACGGGAGAAAGCTTCCGCCCTCTCGACTCACCTTCTTTCGGTTTCGTTTTTCGAGCACGTCGCACATGTCGTTTAATAAAAGTTATTGAGTTGACTGAGCTTCAGCGGCAGCGAAGGCCGCTTGTAATTCCGTCTCCAAGTCCAAACGTGCAGAGAATGTTGGTTGCATTCACGCTTTTATCACTAATTTAATCAAACGAGCAAACGAAGCCGCTAGAAACAGCGAAGTTCCGGAGCAGTGCCAGCAGCGCTACGTACGCTGGGCTAAGATTGCCATCTCCGGATTGCGGAACCCACGCGGAACCATGGGAACCACGCGAAACGATGTGTTCACAGTGGATGAGTCGACGTTGACGACGTTATGAAAATCGCGGAAACTGCGTCCAGGACAGGCAGGCTTTGCTGCCTGGTGCCCGAGTGCCTTCCGTGGTGAGGTCGGTCCTGTTTTCCGATGCCGAGTGCCAACCGGCAGTCAACGTGGTTCTGTATTCCTGGGTGTCAACAACATAGCAGCAACATAGCTATGGCAGTGTTGCGCGTTATGAACAGAATACTGGAATTATCGCCGATGCGATCGTGTGTTCGCGTGTCAGAGGTGTTTGTGTAACAACAAGATGAGCTGTCGGGCACTGATGCCGGTTGTCGGAGGGGGCGGCATAGGCGTAACAACCGGGAAGGGGCGGAGGGGACAAGGCAGGCACTTGCGCTGGCCCTCCCAGTTCTCAGATTAGGGGGGCGGGCAGGCTTGTGCTTTGCCCCTCTCTCCCCTGAAACAGCGGTCACTGGGCAGGGCAAACACTGGCCGGCGGCGCCCAAGGGATACCAAGGGCACTGCCCCCCGTACCCTAAGAGGGGGGGGGGGGGGGGTGCGCAGAGAAGTCTTCAGAGCAAGCCAAGATGTGGTTGAGTCAGCACCCTACTCTGGAAGAGCAGGTAGATGCTACGCACAACAGAAACAAGAACACACCGCAAATGAGATGTCGAATGTGCAACAGATTTCACCAACCATGCCGATGCCCAGCTTTTGGTAAAATCTGCAATGCATGCCAAAGGAAGCATCATTTCGCGATCTGTTGTGACGCAGAGTCCCACTATGAGGTACGCCGACCACAGCTGGAGGAAGTTCAGAAGCAGGCAGAAGATGACTTCGATATTGTTCAGGTGGGAGAGTCCGGGAAAAGCGCAGAGAAGGACTGGCTGCTGAAGGCAATAATTGGGAGAGGGCCTGTCGAGTTCAAGGTCGACACCGGCTCTCAAGTGAACCTCTTACCTTTGTCTCTCTTTCGGAGCGCGAGCACAGGGCAACAGCTGCTGCCCAGTGCGGCAGTGTTGCGAAGCTACAACGGTAGTGCTTTCGGCCACCTGAGGGAAGCTAGGTTTGTGCTCCAACTAGAAGATAGAGCCATTGCGGCTGAGTTTTCTGTTGTCAAGAAAGGCAAGCGAGCGCTGCTGGGACTGCAGACCTGCGAAGCGTTGGGCCTGGTGAATCGCGTTCATGAAATTGCCATCTCCATTATAATGGAACCCGAATGCAACGAGAATTTTCATCACTGTTTCAAGGCATCGGAAAATTGCAACGTTCATACAGCATCGCCTTCAAAGAAGCTGGTGTGCCCGTGACGCAGGCTACTGAATGTGTGCCTCAGGCACTGATGGAGCCACTCAAGCAGGAACTCAATCGGATAGAGGAGGCGGGTATCATCACAAGAATGAAAGATCCCTCGGACTGGGAAAGCCGACTTGTCATAGTCAAAAACAAAAACGGCAGTTTCAGAGTATGTATAGATGTTAGAAGAATGAATGACTTTTTGAGACGTGAGCACTTTCAAATGCCAAGGAGAGAAGTTATAGAAGCTGAACTTGCCAATGCCACTGTGTTTTCGAAACTGGATGCAAGGTCAGGTTTCCATCAGATCCCGCTGACGGATGAAACATCGCGAATTTGTACATTCGGCACGCCCTTCGGGCGGTACCGATTTTTGAGGTTGCCCATTGGATTGACCTCTGCACCCAAAGGGTTTCAGCGTGAAATGTCAGAGGTTTTTGAGGGACTGAAGGGAGTACGGGTGTATATCGATGACGTACTCGTTTGGGGAGCTACCGCGAGGAGCATGATGAGTGACTGAGATTAGCTATGCAGGCTGCACACAGGGCATGATTGACGATAAATGCAAAAAAATGGCAATTTGGGATTCCGGAAGTTTTTTTTCTTGGTGATGAAATGAGTAAAGAAGGTATCAAACATGACCCAAGCCTTCTCGATACCATCTTGAACCTCGAAGCGCCCACGAACAAGAAGGCTGTTCAGCGCATGATCGGCGTCATAAACTACCTCGGAAAATACGTTCCCCGTTTGTCTGAACATACAGCCAACCTTCGAAGGCTCCTTCACGAAGGTGTACTTTTTGAGTGGATTCAAGCGCATGATTACGAATGGAAAAAGCTGAAACTAATGCTCACGAGTGCTGCAGTTCTTGCTCTTTTTGACCCAGACAGGACGACAAATCTGTCGGCTGATGCTTTGAAGTACGGAATCGGAGTAGCCTCACTGCAGCTACATGACCGATCATGGCGTCCTGTGGCGTATGCTTGCAGGTCGTTATCGAACTGCGAGTCACGATACTCTAAAATAGAAAAGGAGGCACTTGGACTGGTATTCGGGTGTGAGAGGTTCCACCACCTAACATACGGTAGGCACATTATTCTAGAAACTGCTCACAGTCCATTGGTCGCACTGTCTAAAAAGCGCCTAGGTGATGTGCCACCTCTACTACAACGTTTCTTTTTGAGACTGATGAAATATGATTTCACCCTTCAGTTTCTGCCAGGAAAAAAGTTCGTGTTCGCTGACGCTTTGTCAAGAGCAGTACAGCCAGGTTCGCAAGAAAAACAATACTCTCTAGATGTTAATGTGCAAGCTGTGGGAATGCTTGGTGCACTTGTGAGTGAGGCGACACAGAACCTGCTCAGAACCGAAACAAAAAAAGATCCCGAGTTTCAACATGTCCTACGATGTCTATAAAATAGTGTCCCACTTCAAGGCGACTTCAGTTCGTTGCATCCCGAGCTGTCAGTAATTGACGGAAAACATTTTAAAGCAACAAGGGTAGTAATACCTCGTGCCCTTCGGCGAGTTATGCTAGTTCAGGCTCATCAAGGGCATTTGGGCATTAACAAATGCGAAGAAAGAGCGCGGCAACTCATTTACTGGCCAAAAATGGCGAGAGACATTGCATCTTTTGTGGCCGTATGCACCACATGAAAAACAATTGCCTATCAGCTATCAGCAACCCCAAGAGCCACTAATCATGCGCAAAGTTGCTCCTTACCCGTGGTATCGCTTTGGCGTTGATTGGTTTGATTACGGTGGAAACTCTCACTTAGTGGCATGGAAACTCTTACTTAGTGACTCTAATTATCCAGGAGTGGAGAAGCTTCAAGACACCTCTTCCCAAACAGTCATCCGAACGTTGTCATCGTGGTTTGCAAGACACGGCATACCAGCAGAGGTTTGCACAGACAACGGTCGACAAGTTTCGTCATACGAGTTTAGGTGTTTTTCGAAAGTTTATGATTTTAATCACTTGACATCAAGTCCTCACTTGCCGCAATCCAACGGTCTCGCGGAGAAAGGAGTGCAAATTGCACAGAGGATTTTGAAAAAATGCGACAACGCGGGGGAGGGTTTTTATTTGGGTCTTTTGAATTATTGATATTCTCCTTTATTAAGTGGACGGTCTCCGGGAGAATTACTGAGTGGGAGAAAACTACGTACATAGCTTCCAGACTTCTAATCAGGCCCCAATAGCCCTGTGCCCAAAAAGAGACAGTGCGAGACCACCGGAGCGTCGCTGAAGGACCTCAAGAGGGGTGATATTGCTCGACTACAACAACAACAAAAAAAAAACTTTTGTGCTAATAAAGCGAAGGTCACCGGCTGTGTTGGACGACGCTCCTACAACGTACAGACGGAGAATAACAGGACCTACCGGAGGAACCGCCGTGACTTGCTGAAAACGCCTGAGACATTCAGCAGCCTCGAGGATGACATCGTCTCACCACAGCAACCCACAAGTGTGCAGGAACGACCACCTGCGCCTAATCACTGGAACCAAAGCCAACCAACTACTCCAGATTCATCGTCAGAGGAAAGTGAAGCGGCAGCTTCGGAGGACAATTGGCTAGAACAGTGTTTAGAAGATCATCAAGAGGTAGACTAGCACTCGCCGACTAACCTATGATGAAACAGTTGAACAACTCCCATAATTTTTTTCTAATCTTTTTTTTATGCTAGTGTGTATATCTGTTTGTCTTTTGTAATACGGTTACAATGTTTTCTTCTGTTTTGTATCGTTCTCCAAAGACCCGAGGATGTATCGTATATCGGTGTTGCCGACGCGCTTGCGCTCGAGCCACGCTGGTGCACGAGCTTAGGAATAAAAGGCAAGAGCGGGTGTTCGCTTCTGGCTTCAACTCAAAGCAGTCGTGTAATGAATACAATACAAAACAATTTGGAATTCCTGTGTTATAGGAGTACGGAAACGAAATGACGTGAGCGCGATCTTTCTACTCCTCGCTTCAAAGTCGGCCTGCGAGAAGCGCGATGCGTATCACGCTTGGGACATCCATAGTCCATGCACGGTCAGGGGTACTGTAGTTGCGAGCCTTGCCGCTTGATGGCGTCAACGTGTGACAATCTGGCCTAGTAGTAACACCCGAGGACTGTACGATCTATGGCTTATGTATAGCTTGCCCGTAATGACATTTGCAGCCATGCCAGTATTTTATGAGCCACGAGCGTTCGGTTCACCATGTTGGTTTCACACCGCAGAAGTAGTAGCTAGAGGGAACCAGTCACTAGAAATAACCGCCAGTACGCAGCAATGTCAACACCTGCAAGCTATTTATATAAGGTATTCACTGGGTGACATATTGGAGCGCGCCATTCACAGCGCGTTGGTTGGGGGGGGGGGGGGGGGGGGGGGGGGGCGGGAGGTTTGGCCTGGCAGAAGCCAACCATGTCCTTGCTGAGCTGAGATTGCAGCCAATGCCACAACCACAACAGCTCGAGGTCGCTTTTTAGAAGTGTTCTTCCGCAAAACGAGCACGCGCGCTAGAAATGCATGTTTCAAAGCCAAGAGCACGGGCTAGCTCGAGCTTGTAGCTTTGGCTGCAGTCTCAGCTTACGGGTGGGCGGAGTCTTCACCTAGAGATTCGGTCGACACGGCTTATCTGGTGAAAAGCAGAACTACGCTTTGTTTTACACTTACTTGGAACAAAACGAATGCTACGCACGCGAGGCCGAAACCATCCGAGGTCCCAATGCCGCGCTCGCGCACTGTGACAAGCTGGTAAGAGCTCGATCTCTGTACCCTTGATCTTGCCAGTGCTCTGCGCTGTTAGCGTGGATGCTCTTTCTCCACCCGCATTGTGGACAAATAGAATCAACACGTGCCCCCCCAAAGAACCATGGATAAACAAAAGCCCGCTTCCACAAAATTCAATCTGGGTCTCGAGGTCAATAGTAAACGCGGAGAGCGCGTTAGCGCTCTCAGCCAAGTCACATTCAGGACTACGTAAGTGTACGAGGAAGCCATACTGCCGCGAACTGCCGCTGCTTCTTAGGAATTCATGACGTGACTGCATTCCAACGGAGTTTCACGGACCGCCACCAGAGGCAATTCTGAAATCAGTTTATTCGTTTTCAAATGATCTTTTTAACTTCTTTGCCTGCAGCTCAGAAACACTAGTATCGACTAGTGTTTTTGGGCTGCCGGCACATGATACGAAACATAACAAAGGTGCCAACATTTTGTTTTGATACCCCTTTAAAAGGGTCACAAAAAGACATCGTGTTGAAATGTTCATGACTTCACAGAATCGTACTAAACCTAGTCTGGCCCAAAAATACTCGCATGAATCACACTGATGCGGAAGTTTCTTAGTCGCGGTGAAATGGCGAGGATAAATGGGGACTACTTCTTTCGGTTTTGCCTTCGGAAGGCTTGATGACGTAATTGTGGGATCGAAGCCAACCGTTTGACGACAGTCAAGGGCGGCTCATGTTTTGGACAAAAGAACTGCATGAGCATTCGGCTTCGGTACGTAACAATCAATTCCTTAGGGGACACTCGGGCTATGATTAACGTTGTCCGCATAGGATAGGCACCAGGCCACGTGGGAGCTTGTTCTGGCTCCAAATAGACCCTTTCCGAAATTCAGTGCCATCTGGTGGTTCGTAAAGCAGTTAACGTTTTGCCATATCAATGGCGGAAATGAACTTGTATCGGCACCGTCACTTTTGCAAGTCAACGGCACGCGAGGAATTGTTCAGTGTGAGTTCTTCCTCGATCACTTTCAATTCAATGGTGACCAAGAACCTGCATTCAGAACGAAGCTCCAACCCACTCAGATGCCTCAAGAAAATTCTATACACCAAATTGCTTCAAAGCCGATTGTGTGCTACTCACAGATTGACTGAATCTAAATTATTAGAAATAAGCGCTTACGTAGCTCTTGTGTTCCATTCCGACATCGCGTCGTACTGACCCCCGAATGTGCAGGCCTCGCATCATCCGCTTAGGAGCATCTTCAACGTCTTCCTTTATCAGTCACTAGAAGGCCGCCATTGGTATGGCACAGATGCCGTTCCACAGATGATGATAGTGATCAAAGTGGCCAGACTGAATTTCGGAAAGGGTCTATTGAGGGGATGAGAGATTTTCGTATGTCTCGAATTTATTTGTCGACTACCACTGCTTAGAAAAAAAAAAAAAAAAAAAAAAAAAAAAAAGAAAAACTAAAGCAAGTTTATTAGGTTATTTAGGTTAAGGTGTGATTCTAAGTAGTATCCATCAAAAGTAGAGAAATCGTTTCATGGGCCCCTTTAATGCATAGTACAGTCACAACGACAGCTGCGACAGGTCACGGCAAAGTCATTGGGCACCGGCTTCGCGCTCATGCACCGAGGTGTGCGCGATCAAAAGGGTTCGGAACAAAATAGACATCTGACCATTTTGTTCCAAACGCTTTTGCTTGTTTTTTTTTTTTTTTTTTATTCCGGATAGCGTTAGTATGCGTCTTCCCGCACGAGCTTTTGAAACTGGCAGTGCTACGACGGCTTTTTTATGTTTTGTTTTTCTTCAGAAAGGGCGTTCCATGGGCATCGAGTTTAAAGCACCTTCATGCTTCAAAGGTAGCGCAAGGTGCGTTGATGGACGACCAGTCTTGTACACGTTACTAAAAAAAAGTAACGTATTCGATTAGATTACTTGATTACTCGACAGCAAAAGTAAATGGACATTACTTTAAGAAGTAACCGTTACTTGTCCGATTACTTTATTGTGTGAAGACTTACATCTTTAGCGCTCATAACAATGAACTACTTCCAACCTTAATTTCACATTTTCATAAATATTGAAGGAGAAAATGCGGGTTCCCTCTTCATGGTCGTTGAACCTTCAGAATGCGGAACACAAGCATAGAATTCGTTTCGAGGAGTTTAATGATATGTGCGTTCGCCAGTGGGGGGGGGGGGGGGGGGGGGGGGAGGTGAGTGGGAGCCGGGGGTTTTTGTTAAGCTTGAGCAAGGGTTGTCGCTCAAAGTTTGTGTCGCTCATTTTATTATTCACATGTGGATGAACTGGTATGTCATGCAAAAGAGCAGCAGCTCCAGGATTTGAAACGGATCATGTGTAGTATCCATTAGCGGATGAGATCGCCCCGACCACTTCTCAACTCGAAACCTTGCATGTCACAAAGACCACGTAGGGGACATAGGGAAATATTTGAACTGGCTTTGTTATATTTTGCATCCGCTTTAGACATTCTTCGGTTCTGGTTCTCCTACGGGCTGCGAGTAGGTGCCGTAAGCAGGATTGTTTTTTTTTTATTTCTGTGTGTGTGTGCATGAGGGGCCTAGTTTGAACGAAGGACTTCCAAAGCTACATTCTGCTCCCTCAAACTTCGCCCTGAATGGCCTTTGTCACGCACTGGGGCTTCCCTGGGGCTTCCCACCCCCGGTCCCAGTTCGGAAAAAGAAAAACGGACATTCCACAGAAACTGTACATGGAAAGGGGTTGACCTCGTTTCCTACTGCTCCGCAAAAAATTTTCTTTTTTCCGTTCGAAAAAAGAAGGAAATTTTATTTTTGTCATTTCAGAAAAAAAAGGTGTGTGCAAGAGGGGCGGGGGGGGGGGGGGGGGGGGTGTCCAGTGGAAAAATAGTAACGGTTACAAGTAATTTTTATTACTTCAAAAAGTAGTCAGATTACTCGTGTGATTACTGCCTAATACAATGAATCAACTGATTACTAGATTACTCCAAAAAAGTAATCGATTACAAGTAATTTGATTACTTGTAATGCGTACGGTACAAGTCTGTGCACGGCGCACATGCAACGTGCAGCCCTTGGGAAGATCATGGCGGAAGAGCGCAGCATTGAGCTAGATTGCAGACGCCATGTTTTTCCCAGAACTGGCACACGGCCCGTGCCTCGAACATTTTCAGTAAAGAAACATATAGAGGGGCTTTAATTTTCAGAACAATGAATGGCGCCACTTTTCCCAGGATAGAAGGGCTTTAATCGAGTTAGGGTCACGGTGGAAGAAACATTTAGGTGATGACTCTCTGTCCGACGCCGCGACCACATTATGTTCGGCGCACCGAGCGGATTTCACTCGCACGAGGATACATGGCGCCCAACTATGGGATCCCTTTCAAACCGACCTCTCCGGTTGTTTCTCCCAGCGGTGGTCCCGCATTCCCTCGCTCACCGGTTCTTGTTGTACCGCACCGCCGCCACTAAGTTGCCAGAGACCGTAAATCTGTGTTCTCTTACTTCTTCTTCTTCGGGTTAAGGCTCACCTTCTGGCAACATGGTGGTACTTGTGGTCGACACAGCACCAACGCACAACACGAGGCCAGCCACTGGCCGCACACCACCACCGCACCACCACACCGCGAAAAAGGCGAGCACGCTACGCCGTAGACTCCGTGGTTGCCGAGGAGGGACCTCATACCTCAGCGCCCTCCGCGGCGGCTCGGAACTAACTACTCCTGGTTC